TCAGAGTGGAGAGCAGAACAGGCAGAAGGACCAAAGTACACTGCTGAGGGGAGCAGCAGGAGGCAGGAGAGGTCTGCGTGCCATGTGGGACCCTCGCGCGCAGCCGGTGGCCGGGGATTGAACCGTCACTGCAGAGGCTGCAGGCAGCTTCGCAGCCCGGCGCTCAACTGCTGCACCACCAGGGGAGGCCCGCCCCCTTAATTCTTAAAACACTATGGATTTGGTTTTGTTATCTCTACTTAGTAGCTAAGAAAACTGAACCTCCAGGATTCACCAATGCCCAGATCTCACATACAACACAGAGTTGGAACATAAACCCAAGTCTCTTCCCTCCAGGCTGACTGCTTTCTACCATGCCATCATGGCTTGAGGCACTTGCCTTGACTGTTGGCATGGGTCGCTGCACTGAAAATGTGGCCATTTCCTGTGGAATACACAGTCCAAACTGTTTCTGTGAGATAGCACAGATGCTGTGTTGGCCCTGCTCAAAACTAAGACTCATGGATTCTTCTTTCTCTGTAAAAGCACGATGTCTTCACAGACATACTAATATTGTGGCATGATAAACCCCTGGTTTCAAAACCAAACTCCTAGCAAAGAGCAGCTAATTGAGATAGCCATGTACACTTGGACAGGTCCATAATTTCTGCCAAGAGCGAAGTCATAAAACCTGAAAAATGAAGTGGGAGAATGGGTGGTCACAAAGGAATAGAGCCAGTAGTGGGAAACTGTCACATGGGGAGTGTCCTAAAAGATTCACAAGGTATTAATTCTGGAAAGAATTTGGAGATGGTCTATTTTACCAAGGGTAATGGGGAGTTTTTAATAGGCCTATGTTAATCTAATTAAATTAAATTAATTGAGGTCTCCCTGGGGGCACAGTGGGTTGAGCGCAGCACTGTGAAGCTGTCTGCAGCCTCTGCAGTGCGAGTTTGATTCCCAGCGAGCTAGGGAGATACCCACATGGTGTGGCAGACCTCTCCTGTCTCGCCCGCTGCTCCCCTCAGCAGTGTTTTCCATCCATCTGCCTGTTCTGCTTCCTGCTTTATCTCTGGTGAATCCTCTCATCCTCCTGTGCATCTGACCTGTACCCCAGCTCTTGTATAAATAAATAAATCATTAAAATATAAACTAATTTAATACTCATATCAACCTTATGCAGTAGATACTATTGTTTATGTCTTTTTTAAACATATGGATAAACTGAGGCATAGAAAATTTAAGTATCTCATTAAGATCAAATGGTAGAGCAGGCTAGTCCAGTCAGAGAAATTGGTTCTGAGTATACTTTCTTAACTATTACACACTGAGGTATAATGATTTGTACAACTGAACTAGTGAGTGAGCCAAACTTGTGCTAGTGCATAGGTTTTTTACAGTGAGCTCCAGAGAACATCCATTGTCGACCCACATAGGAATTGTGTGGCGAGGATAGCCCTGATAGATAAGGAAGGAGAGGAGGGGAGGGAGCAAGAAAGGATCGTGTTCTTGTTCTCAGCTTCCGTAGTCCAAGTTCCATAGGTTTCCGTCTGTTCATCTGCAGACCAAAAGCTTGGGTGGTCCAGTCTAAAATGCTCTAAAAAGGGTTCCAAATAGTGATGATATTTTGTTGCTTTTTCCAAAGTTTCACCCTGTGACTATTATAACCCTAACTGCACCCTCTTCCTGATTATTATTGTTTCTCTCATAAATTATGGGGAAATTGCCATAGTTAACAAATTTTTGGAAGCATAAGAACTCTTTGCAAGCACATTCTGTTGACTTCCTTATGCACATTTTCTTATTTTATTGTTATTCCCACTTTAACAATAAGAAAATTGATATTCAAGTAAGTTTTCTCAAAGCTATACAGCTGATGAGTAGAAGGATTACATTTTGGATGCAAGATTGATTTTTTTCTTAGAAGAAATTGAATGCTTTTCTAGTGCTCTTGTATTACTTTGATTTGCCATTCTGAGTTTTCTTTGATCTCTTTGTGCTTACTTATTATATCACTTCTGAATTTTCTGTCTTATAGGGAAATATAATCTATCTTGTGGGTTTCAATTCTGGGAGTTGTTCACCTTGTAATGTCATGATCCCTTGAGTTCTCATAGTTCCATGTGTTATATTATTTGTCTATCCATTTTGTTACTTGAAGTCTCCCTGCTTTATTTTTGTTTTTAATACTTTTAGCAGAAACTTATGGGGTTAAACTCCTTTACAGTGCAAAATGATTTGCACCAACATATTGGCAAATAACTGGTCCAAACCTAGCCTCATCTCGAGATCTTGTCTGGCATCATATGCCCAATGGGCATATTAGTCTTTATTGTTCCCTTCTATCCCTCATTCCCATGCTCAGAGAGAGATAGAAACAAGTTCCTTTCTTCGACCATTTATTTAGCCTTGAGAAAATCATCTCACCCCTTTAGACTGTTAGTATTTATCTTTGATTCTTGTATTCATTTCAAACTTCACCAATTTCTGAATGTAAGTTTTTTTCTTTAAGCTAGGCAGGGTCTTTGACAGGCTTTTTCACAAATCACTAAGCCTGAGCCAATTTGATGAATGGAGTCTTCAGAAATGGACACTCATTAAACAAACACATCAGCTAAGTTAATAAACTTTGTTATGAGCTAAGCAAATTTCTTCTTATGTAATCTTCACTCATGGTGGTTAACTATGCTGCAGAGGAAAGAAGTTGCTTTCTCAGAGGGCTTTGTGTCCTCTGTCATAGCCACAATTTACAGAGAAATGACCACAACCACATACTTTCCCACGCCCACCTCTTATCTTCTTGGTTTGCACAATGTGAAAATTCTGTAGAAGAGAGAGGCCTCTGGAAATAGATTGCTTCTGTGTCTTCAGTCATCATGAAATCTTGTTTCTGAAAATGCATCTTAAGTCTCCAATGAAGACTTCAATTAAGTCTCTAATCATCCAGTCCTGAATTCCTTTTGATCATATTTTTCTCTTTACCTAGAGCCAGTAAGCTTCCTTGGTTACCTGAGAAAGTACTGTGACTACTTATTTGGGGGTTAATTCTAAAAAAGTTAATTCTAAAAAAGATTATAGGAGAACGTAAAAGAGTTTAGTATTCACTTATTAATATCAATAACAAAAGTTAAAAAAAAAGCTATAACAATAAAACAATAGGATAGTAGCAAAGTATCAGGCAATAGAAAGATGGAACATAATGGAAAACCCCAAAATCTTACCTTCACCTGTGTTGGAATATGATAATCAGTAGAGAAAAACACAAATATAATTACAATCCTGAGGGAAAAAAAACTTTAAGAAATGGTAAGAAAATTATTTATTTATGTAAAAAATCCTATTTCATATTACCATATTAAAAAATACTTGCTTTAGATGGACTGAAGACATAAAATGCATAGCAAAACTGAGACGAAAATATTTATGACATAATGTATGAATGTTTTAAGAATATCAGTAGGTTTAACTTATATTCATATTTAAGATTTCTATGAAAATATAAACAAAGTGTAAAAGATAATTGTACATATGGAGGCTACAAAGGGTTCTTATTTTCATTAATAAAGAATGTTTTTAAATTAGGAGGAAAAAGACAAACAGCTCAAGTATGGAAGGAAATTTCACTGAAAAGAAAATCTTAAGAGAGAATAAATCTACAAAGGGGCTCAACTTCATTAATAACCAGGGAAATGTAAACTTATACCATAATGAGATATCATTTCACATCCATCAGATTTGTGAGACTATAGAAGTCTGGAGCAAGTAAGCACTTCTGAGTGTATGAATAAAAGGAATCACTCATACACTACTGGTTAACTCAAAGTACAAATTGGATTTCAAGTCCAGTAATCCAAGATGATCTCATCTCAAGATCTTTAACTTAATTACACGTGTAAGACCCATCATCCAATAAAGTCACATTCATAGGACACAGGGATTTGACATGGACATTTCTTTCCCTTTAGAGTGATACTATGTTCATCACTCACTGCATTCTCATATATATGTTTTTTTGTTTTTGTTTTTAACTTGGGAGCTAAAGTGATCCCTTGACCTTAAAGTTATATTTAAAAAATAATCGCCCAAGGAAAATAAAAACAGGATTTTTGAAGTGATATATGCGATACATGTTTATTATAACATTACTCACCATAGGCAAGATATTGAAACAACCTATGTGCCCATCTTACTGGATGAATGATACACAATGAGATATTATTCAGCCTTGAGAAAGGAGGGCATTTGGTCATTTGTGACAACAAGGCCGAAACTTGAGGCCTTTATGCAAAGTAAGTTAAGTGAGACAGACAAGGACAGGTGCTGAATTATATCACTTATATGTGGAATTTTAAAAAGTCTAACTTATAAAACAGAATAAAGTGATGATTACTAGGACAGGGCAGGAAAGATATGAAGGGTGTAAACTTATTATGAGTAGAAAACAAATCCTAGAGATCTAATAACAGTTTAATAAAAATAGACAACAAAATTGTATCATAGTAATCAACCTTGCTAAGAGGATAGAATTTAATTATTTTAAGGGCCTCCCCGGTGGCGCAGCGGGTTGAGCACAGTGCTGTGAAGCTATCCACAGCCTCTGCAATGCAGGTTCGATTCCCGGCAGGTCAGGGAGATTCCCACATGGTGCAGCAGACCTCTCCTGTCTTGCCCGCTGCTCCCCTCAGCAGTGTATTTCAGTGGATCTGCCTGTTCTGTTCCCCACTCTGTCTCTGGTGAATCCTCTCACCCTCCCGCACATCTGGCCTGGTCCCCTGCCTTCTATACATAAATAAAGAAATGTTTTTTAAAAAGAATTTAATTATTTAAATTGCTAAAAGTAAAGGATAATTCTGTAACATGGTAAAGGGCCAATTATCACTACAGTGACAAGCAGAACAATACATAAATGTGGCAAATTACCATGTTGCACAACTTCACAGTTTATACAATGTTATATGTCAAATATATTTCAATAAAACAAATAAATAGACAAACTTACATCCTTTTGTCTCTATTCAAAGGACCTTATTTCCCAGAGCCCATATAAGTCCCAAGCTGGAGTGAAGAAAGAAAAATGTGTTACGGAAGAGCTTTTGGATGCCAAGGGAGAGCAAAGCTGCTCTTATCCAACTATTGAGAAAAACTCCACATTATATCATCTGTTTCATCATTGTCATGGCTTCATGAGGATTTGTGGAAGCGGGTATGAAGAGATTATAAAATTTTATGGAACTTTTCCCTTCCCAGCAGGCCAGAGAGCAAAGTCCTCTTCTCAGATTATACCCTGTAGGCAGGAATCTATTGTCTGAAGATAATGCCAGTCTTTTCACACTCATTGCTGACCAAGGATCTAGACAAAAATTTAATAATTGGTATCCTGCCTTTGATTCTCTGCAGTGCACTCTTGTAGGGTAAGGAAAAATGTCAGGCTTTTCTGCCCTCCCGCCATCAGGATAGATGATGGATCCTTGTGGTCCTGAATGCATGCCTGATGGCAGGCACCTGGAGTAGGGTGTGGGCATAGGTAGATGGGATTCACCTGGGCTGAGATGGGGCTTTTAAGGGTGGCATCATGGGGACGCCAGGAGAAGCCGAGGAGAAGCCGAAAGAGAAGCAAAGAAGCAGAAGTAGAGATCACCGGAGAGCCCAGATAGAGTGAGGATTTGCTGGGGGCTGGGAGGACTGCCAGGCTCCGGGCCCCTCAGCACCCCTGCCTGCTGTGTACCGGGTAAATCCCAATAAAAAAACCTGCAAAAAGCCACTAAGGACTCTGACTCCTCCTTCACCCGGTCTGCATGGGATCAGAAAACCTGCTCAGTGGTCATTCCTGCATCTACAATTCCCGCCTCTACAATTCCTGCCTCTACATTCCTGCCTCAGTCCACCACTGAGGACCCTGACTCCTCCTTTACCCTGTCTGCTGGATATTAGAAAACCTGCACTGTGTCCCTTCCTGACCTCTACAACTCTTAAAAATTTTTTTTATTTTAATTTGTTTATACATACAAGAACTGGGGTGTAGGCCAGAGGTGCAGGGGTGAGAGGGGTGGTGAGAGGATTCACCAGAGGCAGAGTGAAGCAGAACAGGTGGATCCACTGAAATACACTGCTGAGAGGAGCAGCAGACAAGACAGGAAAGGTCTGCTGTGCCATGTGGGTTAGCTCCCTGGCCCGGGATCTAACTCAGGCCAAAGTGGCAATAGCGTGCTAGTGCTGAGACTTAATCCCTGCGACACCAGGAGGCCCTGCAATAAATTCTTTAGGAAGGAAGAAATGAAATTCTACATTGCCTTCCTCTAGTGTCAGCATATATTTATGTCAGGACGTCTTAGAACTAAAAAATCCCTTCTATCAAGAATTTATATTCTTAATATCAATGATTTGCTGTTCCTACCTATATAAATTAAATTTAAATGCATGTTTATTGGAACAGCTCTCAGTAAAATCTATTAGATTGTTCCCTCGGTTTTTTAAAAAAACATTTATTTATTTATGCATACAAGAGTTGGGGTACAGGCCAGAGATGGGGGGGGGTGAGAGGATTCACCAGAGACAGATTGGGGAACATAACAGGCAGGCTGACTGAGGTGCACTGCTGAGGGGAGCAGCAGGCAAGTCAGGGGTGGTCTGCTGTGCCATGTGGGTTGCTCCCTGGCCTGCCAGGGATGGAACTCGTGCTGCAGAAGCTGTGAATTGCTTCATAATGCAGTGCTTAACCCCTTGTGCCACCAGGGAGGCCCCCTTCTCCCTGGGTTTTAATACTCACTTTATCTAATAAACTCTTTGTCTAACCATCATTAAAATTTATTTTTAGTAAACACAGGAAATTCTTAATTCAAGAAACAATCAATGAACACCAGCTCCATTCGACTTATACGTAATGTGCTGTAGGAGATTTAAAAGAGACAAAGTATGGACTTATCCCTGGAAAACCAGTTATTCAAGTCACAGTACTGCCTTTGTCATTCCATTGGAAAAATTTTCACAATTTTTTCCTCTCTTCACCTAGACTTTATCTATGTATTAATGAATTTAATCCCCCATATCTGGAACCAGCTCTTTTAAGACTTTCTTGTGGAGTACACAAACATTCAATTCATAACAACACCCCACATCACCTGGCACAACGTTAAATTACACATATAATGTAGACAAGCAACAGGTACTTGTTAAATTGAATTGAGTTACAAAGTGTTGATTACCGTAAGTTTTATTGGTCTCTGGCAATTGTTACCAGATTTTCCTTTTATTCAGCTGTCATGAGAAATCTTCAATTCTTACCACGAAGGAGTTCCATTCTAGGAAAGGAAAAGAAAATATACATAAATTAATATTAAAAATCAAATGAGCCTTGTAGGATAAGGTAAAAAGTATCAGGCTTTTCTGCCCTCCCGCCATTAGGATAGATGACGGAACCCTGTGGTCCCGAATGCATGCCTGATGGCGGGCACCTGGAGTAGGGTGTGGGCAGATGTAGATGGGGTTCACCTGGGCTGAGAGAGTGTGCTTATAAGGGCGGCATCATGGAGATGCCAGCAGAACCAAGGAAGCAGAGAAGTAGAGAGAATGCGAGAGAATGCCGGAGAGCCTAGGTAGAGTGAAGACTTCCTGGGGGCTGGGAGGCCTGCCAGCCTGCCCCAGCACCCCTGCAAAAGCCACTAAGGGCTCCAGGACTCTCCTTTACCCATCTGCTGGATCAGAAAACCTGCTCTGTGCCCCTTCCTGCCCCTACAAGCCTGTTGTAAGGTAAATGGAAGTTATCAGGTTTTTCCTGCCCTCCTGCCATTAGCAGGACCACACCTGTGGTCTTATATGCATGCCTGATGGCACCTGGGGTGTGGTGTGGTCGTGCATGAGTGGGCACACCTGAGCCAAGAGACTGAGTATATAAGGGTGGCAGCAGAGGATGAGGGAGGCAAAGGACTGTGCGGCAGAATGCGGTGGAGACCAGAGGAGAGAAGCCAGAGAGCCCAGGAAGAGTAAAAATTTGCCAGGGGCTGGGAAGCCTGCCAGTCTCCTGGCCCCCAGGTCTCCCTGCCTGCCCTGTACCTGGTTGCCTCACTATAAATAATGAAGAAAGATCATTAAAAGCCTGAAAAAGCCACTGAGGATTCCAGGACTCACCTTTACCCATCTGCCCGGATGGATCCATAGAGAACCGCTCATGCCTTGCTGGCGCTACACTGTGAAAAGGTATGGTGTGCTCCAGAATGGTGGTGGTGAGAGCAATGCAGTACCATGCACATGAGCTTTGTCTCTTGTCACCCTGCCCTTGGCCCTTGGTTAATATTTTGATGGACCAGTCCAGATGTTGTAATTTTTGCAGTAACTACAACAAATCATGATATGACATAAGAAAAGTTTGTGGAGTGAATGAACCAACTCTCAAGTTACAGTTTAGACCTGAGATTAGTGCCCTTCCAGGCCAGGGAGCAGCACATGTGGTGGGCATTCTTGTTTCTCTTATTCACTCAGTTGGAGAGCAGGGCCCCCCAGCATGGGCTACAGGGTAAGACTAGCATTTCCCCACAACCACCTAAGGCATTTTTACTGCCAGCACCAGAAGTTGCTGCCTGTGGGCACTGCTCCCTGGGGACCAGCCAGGTTTGGGCATAGAGCCCCAGCTGGAGTTTCTCCCTTGCTGCCTCTGGGCAGCACCGAGGTTGTCCTGCAGCCTCCAGGCCCTTGCTGGCGGGTGTCTGGCCTGTGGCTGGCCTTTTTCTATTTGGTGCTGGATGCAGAATGAACCAATGAGGAGGCCAGCAAAATGCACAGGTGGTGTTCATCAACTCATTAGCTGCTGTCCTTCCAGGCCCTTAGACTGTGGCTGGAGCTGGGGCTGGGGCTGCTGCGGTGTCATCTCAGTGCTTGCCTGTGAGCAGCTCCAGCTGCCATGAGGTGGCTCCTGTCAGCTGCTTGTTCCAGGCCCTCGCTGACAGGACAGCACCATCTTGAATAAGTCACATTTTGGTGGGGATTTCTGGACATTGTGGACCCTGAGGTGAGAGAGCTGGCCACCTCTGGCCTTAGAAACTCTGTTTCCCCTTTACTGAATAAACCCCATTGTTGTTTCCTGAACCTGAGTGTTCTTGCAGTTGTGTGTATGGATGAAGACCCCACAGACCTGTTCTCTACTTGGGCACTGTCCTATTCACCCACTATAGCCCCCCTATAGCCCTGTTTCAAGTTGACTCTACAGCAATAATTTGCCTTTGTGAGGTTGGGTCAGGATTTGTTCCTGTGCAAGGAAATTTGGATTCTGTTGTGAACTCATCACATTTCTATTAAGAGAAAACATGTCCTGAATCATCAGGAATCTACTCAGAAAACTGCATCCCTGGGGAGCAGAACACTGTTCCCACTGGAGGTCCCAAATATGATCTAGTTTGTCAGTAGATGGAGCTCCTGAAGCGTCTGCTCGTGTGCCCATGTCCACCAACCCAGTGGCTTTCTTTGAAGTTCTGGGACAGCTGAGAAGCCTTGGACAGAATGGGGTAGGTGACTTCCTTACCCAAGAATGTCTTGCATCTTAAGAAGGAAATGATTTATCCCCTACTTGGACACTTTCTGATAGTCTAGAAAGGACACTGGAAGGAGAACCAGGAGATACCACATCTGGGTGCTCCCATTAGCTCACTGCATGACCCTACGCAAATCACACTGTGGGTTTGTTTTCTCTGTAAAACTAACATTACCTAGCTATTTTCTGATCTTCTAGTTTAAGCATTCCATTTATGATTTCACCATGTTCTTCTACCTATTTGGTATCAGTTTCTAGGCATCAGTGAATGCTTGTCTCAAACTGCTATCCAGGTGGATAATACTTGTTCTGATTACTCAATGTTCTAACTAATTTCTCATTATTCTCTGAATCTTTATGATTTCTAGAAAATACTAGTGTTTGTTTCCATATGTCTTGTTTCTAAAGCATACACTTAGTCTCTACTATATTTCAACTTTTATATTTCAGAATCAACCTCAGTTATCCAGACTTTCTCCTTATGGTCCTAAACATTATCAAAGGGACTTTCATAATTAGAATAATCTTTTAATATCTGAACTCACTGGAGTTCAGAGAGGTCAAAACTATTGAAGCCCTAATTACTCATACCTTGAGGTCTCCAAGGTCACCTGGACTAGAATATAGTTGGTAATTTTAGAAACTGATATAGAGTTACTACTGAGAAATGTGAGTGTGATAAAATTACTTACAGCAGTGTTTGTTGGCTGAACTGTATAATCCTGAAGGCTGTTTCGTGTTACGGTGACAAAATAAAAAAAGTGTATCAGAATGTAGGATTTGGTGCATTCAAAGTTTATTTTCCCCATTAATTTCTGGATGGATTTGATCACAAACACTGAAAGAACATAAACCCTCTCTTAGGCATGTCTATGTTATTTTGGTGACTTGACAACTGCAGCATTAGGGGTACTAGATTCTCAGTCTTGTTTCTCAGGAAGATTCCTCCTTGATGTATTTAATGGCAGAAAAGGTGGCCATGCCAGCAGTGAGAAAGAGGGAAGTCTTGGTGCAGCTGCTGGTCTCAGGAGTAGGTAAGGGACATGGAGATGTGAGGCTATGAGGATCTACAAGTCTATTTAGGTGTTCATAAGTTAATATGTTATAAGGTCTTATAGAAAATTTCATGA